TTGAACCCAGAACCTTGCACATGCTAGGCAAGTGCTCTACCCTGAGTTACACTATCAGCCCCTTTTATTTTTTTTAAATATTTTTAGTTGTAGTTGGATACAATACCTTTATTTAATTTACTTATTTTTATGTGGTGCTGAGGATTGAGCCCAGTGCCTCACATGTGCCAGGTGAGTGCTCTATGCCTGAGCCACAGCACCAGCCCTATCAGCCCCTTTTATATATTTATTTTTAATTTTTGATAGCAGGGTTTGAATTCAGGAGTGCTTAACCACTGAGTCACATCCCCAGCCTTTTTAAAATATTTTGTTTAGAGACAGTTGAATTGCTTAAGACCTGGCTAAGTTGCTGAGGCTGGCTTTGAATTTACGATCCTCCTGCCTTATCCTCCCAAGCCACTGGGATTACAGGTGATGTCTCTGCTCCTGGTTTATATAAACTATTTATACAAAAAATGACCCTTTTTATACTTTATATTTACTGATATTATTTAATGTTATTATTTGTATTTTTTCTCATATAGATGCTCTTGGTTGATGTAGTAAAATTTACCTACTTGATTTTTTTCCTACTTTTTAAAATATTATGATGTTCTTATCAAAATTTTAGATGTATAATCATCTATATTTTATTCTAAAACTTTTATTTATTTATTTATTTACTTATTTATTTATTGGTACTAGGGATTGAACTCAGGGGCACTCGACCACTGAAGCCACATCCCCAACACTATTTTGTATTTTATTTAGAGAGAGGGTCTCACTTGCTTTTTTGCTGAGGCTGGCTTTGAACTAGTAATCATCTACTGCAGCCTCTGGAGCTGCTGGGATTAAGGTGTGCACCACTGGGCCCTGCATTGTTAGATTTTTTTGCCCCCTGTACTGGGGATTGAACCAAGGGACATTCTACCACTGAGCTACACCCCTTCTTCATTTTTTTATTTTTGAGACAGGGTCTTGCTACATTGCTGAGGCTGTCCTCCAATTTGTGGTACTCCTGCCTCAACCTCATAAATTGCTGGGATTACAGGTATGCACCACCATGTCTGGCTATGGTTTGAGATACAATCTCACATATTTATTTAGTTTCAACTAATGAGACCAGGGCAAAGACCAGGTAGCTGATTATCAAAGAAAAGGAAATGGGTAGATAGCACTCCCCATCACCTGGTTGCTAACGGCCTGGGGTGGGGGAAGGGTCACACTTTCCAACACAAGCAATCACACCCTGTGGCTCTCTTCCTGTAGTTTTTGTAAAGTAGGCTTGAGAAGAAAGGAAAACTGAAATCTGTAAAGGTGCTGAACACCCCCAGCTCTGGGCTTCCTCTTCTCTGGAGGAGTATCAGTCTCTCTTTCAATCATGCCCCCTCTTCTGTTTCGTGAGTAAAATTTACTTTTTGCTCTTGCCTTGGTATTTCTTGGGTGCTTAATCTTCAACACAGGGGCAGAGGGGGCGAATGGAAACGAGTACCTGATCCTAATTTTCAAGACCGGTTTCACTAATTCAACTGGAATTTCAGTTGGTGTGTGGTAATGGGGTTCAAATTTTAATATAGGCATAATATGGGACGCTTGTTACAAATTCTGACATTACAGAGAAAATTACAAATCCTGATATGACTTCCCCTGAGATTTTGATTCAGTAGGTGTGGGGCTGGGAGTTAGGAATCCACATTTGTTCCACTCACCCCAGTTGATTTATGTTGCAGATGGGCCCCTGAACATATTTTAAGTAACGTGTGCAATATGTGGTATAGCATGCCTTAGTACAGAGGCCTGTCACCTCCCATCTGAATGACTGCAGCAGCCTTCCTCACTTCCAGGTCCCCATACTCTAAAATCCATCCTATACACATATACTAGAGTTCTCCTACAGAAACATTTCACAAGGATCCTCTTTGGTAGCTTCCTATTGTTATAAGAACTAGTTCTAACTCCTCCTCATCCTAGCACTCCAAGCCCTCCACTATCATCAGTCCTGTATCAGCCAGATGGCAATGACTTTGTTAACAGTCCACCATCTAGCTATGCCTGCCTCTTCAAAACCTTGTACACATATTGCTCATTCCTGCTTTCATGCTGCAGCCCTTACCTTCTCCAAGATTATTCATATCTTATGCATTCAACTCAATTCTCACATTGTAATTCAAGTCTCAGATTCTATCCCTTCCCTGGCTACCAAGATATTGGCTGCTTTCCTAGAATTGCCGATGCTCCAGTTGTTGTGTATTCTCCTTCTGTGAGTTTGGTCTTGCCAGTAAGTCACACTATCCTCCAGGATTTGGTCTATCTATGCCTCATATCCTCTAGCCCAGTCCTAGGTGTGAGGAAAGTGTATGGAAGGACCTGTTTAATAGAACAAACTAGCTCTAACTGCCAAATAATTTTAATACATGTTAGACATAACTTTATTACCAGCAAACTATATCACAACAAGAAATCTCCAGAAATTTAAGGAAAAGATTATCTTGTTTCCAGGTCTTATTTAATTCAACAATATTGCTTATCACCTGTGACATGTCTATTTATTGACTTTCCAGTTGAAGAGTCTAACCTTCCCTATAGTATGGGCTATTTCTTTCCCCTGTTGCAAATGTAATGATTTCTCCTTTCTTGAAGAACATGTTTTAGCAGATTAAATAAATCTAAATGGGTTAATGGCTAAATAATTACATTATGGCTTCCTTAATCTCTTTTCTCTTTACCCCTCAGGGCTCTGCCTTCTTGAGTGACTGATCTACTTTAAATGAGTTTGCTTGGATGCTGGGAATGGGTGGGGATAAAGGAGGAAATATCCATTCCCTTTCAGTAGACAAGGTGGAATTTAGTTCATCAGGTAATTATCCAGCTCCTATTGGACACCTAGCTTTGTGCTGGGCATCAGAATATCCAGATGAGAAATTATAAAGGGGTACAAGGGCATGGGAAGGAGAAAAAAGGGAAAGAGGAGCAAGGAGTAGAGTTGACAATCCACATAAAAGGGAACTGGAGGAGGGATAAAAGAGCCAAACTTGCATTCTCTAATCTCACCTGATAGCACCATAAGGAGGATCTAAAAACTTGAAAAACCACATAAAAATAAATAAAATAAAGGTATTGTGTTTATCCCCAACTATAAAAAAAGTAAATGACCTCCCCCACCCTTTTAAAGATCTATATGTGTGGGTGAGTGTATGAACACACAGTATATACAATTATTATTTTTGAGGTACTGGTGTTCAAATCCAGGGCCTTGTGTATGCTAGGCATGAGTTCTACCACTGAGGTACATCCCCAGCCTCTAAAATTATTTTGGAATAATAGCTAGGATTTATTGTGTGCTTACTCTGTTCTAAGCACTTTGTAGGTATCAACTCATTTAATTTTCATCATAACCCTATGAAGTAGGTATAATTATTATGGAATTTTTTTTTTCAGATGAGGAAACAGGCATGGAGCTCAAGTACACACAACTTATAAGTGGTAGCTGTGACCTTTGAACCTTAGCCCCATTAACTCAATGTTTGCTATTATTTGAAGTTACTGGGCTCTGTTTAACTTACTACTGTAGTCACTAGAGCTAATGCACTGCTTTGCACATAATAGTCATGGTATACTTTGAGTAAATAAAGTGAAATGTTGATAGTAAAGTACTTCCCACTTAACCCAATTACTTTTAAGCATAAACATCAAATGTCATTAAATGTAGTTTCACTTTGCTGTAAATTTTGTATTAAAGTAATATGCGCCATATATATATATATGTATATATACATATATATGTGTGTGTGTGTGTGTGTGTGTGTGTGGTACTGGGGATTGAACTCAGGGGCACTTGACCTCTAAGCCACATCCCCAGCCCTCTTTTTTATTTTATTTATAGAGACAGGGTCTCAGTTGCTTAGTGTCTCGCTAAGCTGATGACTGTAAAGCAATATTTCTTTACAGCATACACATGTGCCTACTTCAATTTTCTTTTACTCATTTGGCTGGTCTTCTGAACCCTTTAAACTTAGGGGGATAGAAGAATCAGTGGGTGTGGTCCAGGTGCTGGTAAAAGAACCTTCTGAATTTTGTAGTTGTAGGGGAAAAAAACCACTCCCTGAGGGTTTATGATTTAATAGCCTTGAGTGGGATCCACTTAAGAAACCTGGTTTACCTTGTCAAAAGTTTTAAAAAGAAAGTTCTGAAGCAACATAAAATAGAGATGCCAGGCACGGTGGCGTACTTCTGTAATCTCAGTATCTTGGAAGCTTGAGGCAGGAGGACCAAAAGTTCAAGGCTAGCCTGAGCAATTTTAGAGACATCTTCTTTCAAAATAAGATAGAAAAAGGACTGGGGATGTGGCTCAGTGGTAAAGCTCCCCGGGTTCAACTCTGGGTGCCCAAAATAAAAAATAAAGGAGAATGAATGCCTGGAAAATTCTACAGCCTAGAATGGGAGTTTTACTAATGGTTGGGTTTTTTGAAAACCATCTTGCCCCTCGCATATAGGTCGCCTTAGCAATTCCACCATTAGAAAATCATTCTTTGGCCAGACGCGGTGGCGTATGCCTATAATCCCAGCGGCTTGAAGAGTGAGGTAGGAGGATGCAAGTTCAAAGCCAGCTTCTGCAATTTAAAGGCCCTAAACAACTTAGCAAGTTGTTTCAAGACGCTGCTCCCGTCCCCCCCCCCCCTTAAAAAAAAAAACCCAAAGGGTTGGGGATGTAGCTCAGTAGTTAAGAGCTCCTCGGTTCAATTCTTGGTAAAAACAAACAAAACATTCTTTGGGTTGAAAGAGTTAAAATGAACCATTCCTGTGATGGGAAACGCTGTTAACACTAGCGCGAATTTTTTAAATCACTTTTCTAGGTTTAGAGGACTCACCAAACGGGACAGGGCAAAAGAAGCAGGCGGTGGGCGGGGTCACAGGGAGGGGAGGGGGAACTTGTAGAGAGAAGTCGGCAGGCCTTTAGGATATAAATACTTTTGAAGTAGGTCCCTGGAGCAGTCCCTGCTTTCCAAGTCCAGCGGTTTGGGACGGCGGCTCCGCCCACGTGGGGAGGAGCCCCGGTGGCCTCTGCTGCCCCGAGCAGGCTGCGCGTAAGGCAGGGAGAGAGGCGCCTAGCTTACCAGGAAGTGACTCTTCCTCTGAGGCAGCAAGCCGGGCCGTCCGCTGATCTTTTCGTTTGCCGCCTCAGATTACTAAGAGAATTTATTAGTCACGAAGGGAAGGTAAGGCGGGGAAGCCGGGGAAGGATAAGTAGCCCGGAAAACCTAGTTTAAGCCTACTGGGCGAAAACCTGCTCACAGCGCCGAACTGCCCATGGGGCCGGATATAGAGGTCGGAGGGGCTGAGGACAGGATCCGAAAGTGGCTGCCCAAGGGTGGCATCCAGTCTGCCCAGCGTCTGCTTGTGCTCCAACTCCTTTGTTCCCCCCTTCCCCACTTCCGGGCCTTTTCTGGCTGTGCAGTCCGTACCACGTTAAGTCGTAGACTTTCCTGGGGTCGGCTTGGTTAAGCCTTCTTATAAACACGTGCGGCCAGAGCTTGCCTAAAGAGGGGAATGGATGTGCTGGCTGGTGGGGGAAGGAAGGACCTGTCTGCTTGTGCAGTGGTGAACATTTTGCTCCAAGGGTATACTTGGCCCTGCGCGGTCAGAGCTTTCATGTAGTCTAAGTAGAACCTCTGTGAGCCCTGGAGGTAAATAGCCATTGAAGCCCTGCAGGCTCTGGGGCCCTTTCTGATCAATTCCTGAGGTAGGAATAAAGCATTTGTAATACTTTTCTTTTATAAAGGAAAACACGCTAACGTTTATTTACAGGGAAAACCATAAGAAGAAAGTAATCTTTCTATGAACAAATGCCCACTCTGTCATTAAGAAACAAATGGAACCCACTTTGACAGGTAAAACCAGAGTTTTGAGAGAGACTAGATTCCCTGCGTTGCCAACTTCCTTCTGGGTTCTTATCTTTTTTTTTTTTTTGTACCAGAGATAGAACACAGGGTCGCTTTATTACTGAGCCATATCTCCAGCCCGTTTTATTTTTTATCAGTTTTAGTTTTGAGACAGGGTCTTATTAAGTTGCTTTGCTAAGGCTGGCTTTGAACTTGCAGTCCTCCTGCCCCAGCTAACTGAGACCTTGGGTAGAGTCCAATTTTAGACAATGTTTGATATTTGGAGGAAAATACTTAGATGGACAAGGACCCTGTGCTGGGGTACAGGGCAAAAGAATCACAATCATGGTGGAAATCACTAGTGAGAGGATCCACATGCTCCCCAAAATGTCCTAGTGTTGTAGCGTAAGGATAGCTGTCTTCAAATTCCTCATTTCATCTGTCCTTTAACCAACCCCCAAATAGTCCTATAAGTTTCTTCATCCTTCTTACTTCCCTGCCAGCTGGAGGGACAGGGCCCCTTCTTGTAGTCAGGGCTTCAAGGCCAATGACCTCACCCCAACTAGATCATTCATCCTTTGTTTCCTGCCTCTCTCTGGCTTTTGCTCTTCACTATGTTAAATACATTTTTCTCATCTTGGAGAAGTGATGATCAGCGGTCACATACTTTAAAAAATTATTTTTAATTGTAGATGTACACAATACCTTTATTTTTATATGGTGCTGAGGATTGAACCCAGTGCCTCCCATGTGTAGGCAAGTATTCTACCACTGAGCTACAACCCAGCCCCAGGTCACACACTTTAAAAAAAATTTGTTTTTAGTTGTAGATGGACACAATACCTTTTATTTTATGACTTTATTTTTATGTGGTGCTGAGGATCGAACCTAGGGTCTCACACATGCTAGGTGAGTGCTCTACCACTGAGCTACAACCCCAGCCCATGAGGTCACGCACTTTTGATAGTATTAACAGGTGGTCCTGGGTGGGCTATGATCTCACCACACTGCAATAGACACTCATGTACAGTCAGGAAAGTGTGTGTTATTTTTTAAATTTCCACAATATATCCTCACAACACTTGCCTCACCAGTTTTATAGGTTGGAGATACTGAATCATGAAGAAGCCAAGTGACATGCTTCAAATCGTAGCCTGAGGAAAGGCAGTGATACACATTGAACACCTGCTGAACACTTCATATACATGTATTCTCACCACAATTCTGAAAGGTAGGTGATGCCATTCCTGTTTTTATAGATGGTGATATTGAGATACACAGTGTTTAAGTAACTTGCCCAAAGCCACACAACTAGTAAATGGGGCTAGGATTACAAGATGGCTCCAAAGCCTATATTCTTTAGTTTTTCTTTTGGCCGTGCTGGGAATCAAACACATAATACAGTCTTAAGCTAACTTAACGTTGGGACAGCATCTAAGGTATAGAGCAATGGCTAAAAGGTAACTTCTTAGCAGATCAGTAGGTTGTCAGGTCAAATCCATTCAAGTGTTCTTAGTACTTAAGGAAGGTATTCATTCTCACAGCAAGGACAGATACCCTTAAGTAAATAGGCAAAAGGACAGAGCCTTTTTTTTTTTTTTTAGTTGTACCAATGATTGAACCTAGGGACACTTAACCACTGTGCAATATCCCAAGCTCATTTTATTTTAGAGACAGGATTTCTCTAAGTTACTGAGACTGGCTTTGAACTCACGATCTTCCTACCTTAGCCTCCCTAGTTGCTGGGATTATAGGTATGTGCTACCAAGCCTGGCCAGAGCCCTATTTTTTTTTTGAGAGAGAGAGAGAGAGGGAGAGAGAGAGAGGGGACGAATTTTTAAAAATATTTATTTCTTAGTTTTTTTTGGTGGACACAACATCTTTGTTTGTATGTGGTGCTGAGGATCGAACCAGGGCTACATGCATGCCAGGTGAGCATGCTACCGCTTGAGCCACATCCTCAGCCCCAGAGCCCTATTTTGGAGGAAGAGAGATTCCTTCCTTTTTATGTAGGAGCCTTCCACTTGTGTTCTCTGTCATCTGTTTTAACTCTTCCATCTTTTTAACTCTTCTCATCTTAACTCCCACTGTTCCTTCCCCCTGCTTCTCTGTGTCTTCAATATTGTCTCTCCCACTCAGTTCCTTGCTGTCTTTAAAAACATTGTGACAGATATTAATACTTACTGAAGAGCTTTTGCCCAGGTACTGGACACTGTGCTCAGAGCTTTATAGATGTCATCTCTATTTAATCTTCTGCTTTTTTTTTACTTTATTTTTGAAATGCTAAGGATGGAACCCAGGGCCTCATTCATGCTGGGCAAGCACTGTACCGCTGAGTTACACCTCCAGGAGTACTTTTATTATCTTTCTTTAACAACCACCATATGAGATAGGTATTGTTATTATCTCTGTTTTACAGGTGAAAAAAGGGAAGGTCAGAGGGAATGCTTACCATGCCACCTATCTAGTAAATATTGGAGTCAGAAAGCCCAGGCCAGGTCTGTACTCCAGATGTCTGAAAGCCTTGATATGTTCCTATTGCCCACCATTTCCCATTGCTCTTTCTCTTCTTTTTTACTTTTTTTCCCCCACCCCTTAGATTTAATAGGATGTGTCAATCCTACATCAAAGGCACCTCTGTATCCTCCATGGCTTCACACGCTCCTGGTTCTCCTTCTGAGTCACCAGTGTCTCTTTTTGCTCTCTAAATATTATATTTACCCCAGGTTTTGTCATTGGCCTTTTGTTCTTTACTCAAAACTTTCATTTTATCTTACAGCTCGTACTTATAAACATTTGATCTAATCCCTGGTTCTGACTTCTCTCTTGGCTTGTATTCTTTCTCTACTTACTTGCTATTTCCATTTGGATATTTTCCTATCACTTCAAACTCAACATAAACTTGGTTTTTATTGGCTTCCTTATTTCATCTTATTTCTCTACAGAAAGCCTCTATCAACTCACTGTTGCCTTCACAATAAAGTCTGTATTTTATGCAGGCATTGAAGTTCTTTCAAATCTCACTTTGACTTGACTTTTCAGCCTCATTGCTTCTGTTCCTTGAAATGAATTACCATTTCAGCCAGACAAGTTTACCTACTGTCCTTCAAACATATAGTTTACTTCCCCACCATCCTTTAAGACATGCATTGCCTTCCTTCCTGCTCTGTGTAGCTTTTCCTGAGAACTCACCAGGAACCAAGCATTTTGTGTTATTTTCTAATGCCTTTCCTGTGTTGGCATTATTATTATTATTTTTTTTCTACAAGGGATTGAACCCAGGGGCGCTTAACCACCGAGCCACATCCACAGCCTTTTAAAAAATATTTTTGAGACAAGGTCTCACTAAGTTGCTTAGAGCCTTGCTAAGGCTGGCTTTGAGCTCAAGATCATCCTGCCTCACCTGAGTTGCTGGGATTACAGGTATGTGCCACTGCTCCCAGCTCCTGTGTTGGCATTTGATCTCCTCAATTAGATTGTAACCTTTCTAACTCCTCAAGTATCTTAACAGGTTACCTTGCACATAGTAAGTACTTAATACTACTAATTAGTTGATTGGCTGTTGATTGAGAGGGCAGAATAGAGAAAAGGAGAGACTACAGAAATGTATCGAGAGTTGAACTCTTCCCTGCGTAACAAAGACTATATTTTCTTCATCTCTTTATTTGGGCTTAAGACCTTACCTTTTATGTGCTAAATCAGTTGTGTTCAAGAGGCTTACTTTACTGAATGTTTACTTTGTGCCAACACTGACTGCTGGGTGCTGGAGAGTTCCATAAGAATGGAGGAGGATTTGCATGTTGTAATTTATTTATATTTTTTGCAGTACTGAGGATTAAACCTAGGGCCTTGTATATGCTAGGTAAGTGATCTACTACTCAGCTACATCCCCAGAGGGGTTTTTGTGCCTCTGTTTCCCAATTTCTATATTTCTGCCTTTTGTGCAGATGAATTGCAGTGTGTGTCTTTGGTTGGCAGGCATTAAGAGGAGTCCTAATGTACAGTCTGAGATGCTTCCTCTCCAGAGTGGGTCTCTTCTCCAAACCAGGACTGCTTCCCTGGTATGCCAGAAAACCATCAGATTGGTCACAGCCCTTTTGGGGCACAGCATGTAAAGGAAATTTCAGCCATGGGATATCCAAGAAGTGTCCAAGAGGTCAAAAAAGTTGTGAGAAACCAACTTATCTTGGACCACTTGATGGTTCCTGGCAGGAAAGGTAAGACACAGTTCAATATCCTTTTTCTAGCAAGTCTCAATCTGTGGGTCTTTACTGAAATTCTGTATTCCTAATATAACTAATGTGGCATCGCAATGATTCACGAGAACATCTGAAGGAAATTGCCTGAAATGTTTTGAGATCACAGAAAATGTTTTTGTCTTTGAGAGTTGTCAAAAAGAAGATATTGAACTTGGAACTTGTGTCTAAAAAGGGTCCATGGTGGTTATGCTGAAAACCAGGGACCCAGAATGGTATTAGATGGATTAGAAATGAATAGTCCCATTGCAGCCATGCAAACATAAATATACCTCATTTTATGCAATAAATGTATTTTAAAATTAAATTATATTTTAAAAGCATCAGGGAGGTAAGCTATTTAAAGGAACCCAATAGTGAAGCTTTTTGTAATATGATTAATTACCACCTGATAAATCTGGATTTTTCTTATATTAGGTTTGCCCATCTGTTCTTTGTTAAGTAGGCAGCACCAAAATGGGCTTTTCTCCCAGACTCCATCTCCCTTGAGGCATGAGAGTTGCTTTTTTTTTTTTTTTTTGGTGCTGAGGATTGAACCCAGGGCCTTGTGCATACAAGGCAAGTACTCTACTGACTGAGCTATATCCCCAGCCCTGGGTTGCATGTTGTAATTTATTTATATTTTATGCAGTACTGAGGATTGAACCTAGTTTGTGTTCTAGGTAAGTGATCTACCACTCAGCTATATCTTTAGAGGGGTTTTTGTGCCTCTGTTTCCCAATTTCTGTATGTCTGCCTTTTGAACTTATCATTATTTTTTTAAATATCTTTATTTTACATTTATGTGGTGGTGAGGAACCCAGTGCCTCATACATGCTAGGCGAGCACTGTACCACTGAGCCATAATCCCAGCCCTGAGCTTATTATTCTTAATGATAAGTAAAACACCAGAGAAAGGGGTGGCAGGAAGTACTTAGGCATAGTAGGTGCTCAGTGCATATTTCGAAATTAACAAAGTGCATGGATTGTTTTATTCAAGGCTGGCTGATGTTGTGACACCACTCTGGAGGCTGAGCTATGAAGAACAACTCAAGGTAGGTGCCCAGCTTAAATCTTAACCCCTTCTCCTCAGCAACGGAATGGTATTAGATTAATGGGAAGCCTGACTAGACAGTCTCAAAAGGTCCTTAAACACACTATGCTAATAACTCCACAATTTGAACTTTAGGCCAGTTATATGTTCTAAACCCTCAAACCACTGATGAAAATGCTGATTTATTACTTGCTTGTTTTTGTCTTATAGCTCTGTATATGTGAGGAGCAGTACTTTTGCTGTTTCATATAACTGCACTTTTCAACAGGGTAGCCATTAGCCACATGTGGTTGTTTAAATACAGTCAATTCTGCCATAATGCTTGTTTTGAAAACAGAAATTTGTTTCAGTAGATTGACATATTAGGGAGCAGTTTAAGCATAATGCAGATTTCATGTTTGCTTAGGAATAATTGTGTCTGTGAGAAATGCTTGGTGAAAGAAATCTGCACCCAGGTGAACCAGGATATGTAAGAACACATAAAATATTTCAGATGTGCATGTATACATCTATTGGCTACCTTAGTTGCCTGTGTGTTATGAGCCACACCCTTTTGCCTCTGTTAGAATGTTCCATTTGACTCACTTTTACCACTTCACTGGGCTACTCTGAGCTGTAGCCCACTTTTACAAGCAAACCTCAGGTCTTTGGGTAAAGTGTATTTCTTTTTTTTTTCTTTTGTGGTGCTGGGGATTGAACCCAGGGCCTTGTGCATGCAAGGCAAGCACTCTACCAACTGAGCTATAACCCCAGCCCAGTAAAGTATTTAAAAAAAATTTTTTTTTAGACAGCATGCCTTTATTTTGTTTATTATTATTTTTTTGTGTGTGGTTCTGAGGACTGAACCCAGTGCCTCACATGTGCTAGACAAGCTCTCTGCCACTGAGCTATAGCCCTAGCCTGGATAAAGTATAGTCTAAATATTATTTTATTTTTTTTAAGTTGTAGATGGACACAATACCTTTATTTTATTTATTTATTTTTATGTGGTGCTGAGGATCGAACCCAGTGCCTAACACATGTGAGGCAAGTGCCCTACCACTGAGCCACAACCCCAGCTCCTAAAGTCTAGTCTTATCAGAGTATTGTGTTTCTTAATCATTTGATGTACGTTAAATGATGCCACTTTTTTTTTTGGGTTCCTTTTCTAGGAGTGTTTTTCTGATAAAGTTTTGGAAGGTTGTATGCCTAACCTTATTTCTACTATGAGCCCTGTAATTTTTTTTTTGACATAGCACAGCATGGTATAGAAACAGTGTCACATTATAGCAGAACTGACTCTCTAAGTTAATCAGAATAAGACTAGAAATTCACTTTAGCTCCACCAGCCACATTTTGTTTTTCTTTTATGTCAGGGATTAAACCCATGGGTGCTCAACCACTGAGCCACATCCCCAGCCCTTTTTTTTTTTTTTTTGGTACTGGGGATTGAACTTGGGGATACTCAACCACTGAGCCACATCCCCCATCCCTATTTTTGTATTTTATTAGAGACAGGATCTCGCTGAGTTGCTAAGTGCCTTGCCATTGCTGAGGCTGGCATTGAACTTGATCCTCCTAATTTAGTCTCCCAAGCCACTGGGATTACAGGCATGCACCACTGCGCCCAGCTCCCAGCCTTTTTTTTTTTAATTTATATTTTTTGGTTGTAGATGGATAACTACACTTATTTGTCTTTATGTGGTGCCGAGGATCGAACCCAGGGCCTCACTCATGCTAGGTGAGTGCTCTACCACTGAGCCACAACCTCTTTCCCTCCCAGCCCTTTTTTATATTTTATTTAGAGATAGTGTCTCACTGAGTTGCTTGGAGCCTTGTTAAGTTGCTGAGGTTGGCTTTGAACTCATGATCCTCCTGGCTCAGCCTCCCAAACTGCTGGGATTATAGGCGTGTGCCACTGCATCCAACTACCAGCCACATTTCAAATTCTCAATTGCTGCATGTGACTAGTGGCTACTATATATGTGGAACATAGTACAAATAGACCATTTTCATTATAGAAAGTTCTACTGGACAGCAGTGACATATACCTTGAGTGTTCAATCTGAAAGGTCAAATAGAAGGGTGAGTTTACACAGAGCTCACTCTTTTTTTTTTTTCCCAGAGCTCACTCTTGACCTTTTTCCAATACCTTATTAGGTCTCTTGCTGTTCATATTTTTGGGTTCTATATTTGCAGAGGCTACAACCCACAAATCTGTGGGGTACCCTTCTTTTCCTGTTTTTCATTATATATGATTTGGTTGCTGATGGACTTTTTTGTTTATATGTGATGCTGAGAATTGAACCCAGTGCCTGATTCGTGTCAGGCAAGTGCTCTTCCACTGAGCCACAACCCCAGCCTTTGTTTTTCATTTTTTGAGGGGAAACTACAAAAAGCTTTGTTTCATTGCTTATATTCTTTTACAGGTGAAATTTGAAGCTCAGAAGAAAATTTTACAAAGGCTAGAGTCTTCCCTACAAATGCTCAATAGAGTCAATGGTACAATCACTGCACCCAAATCTGAGGGGCTCTGTTGTCTTCTCCATCCTGTTATACCCTCTGTAAGCTTCCACACCACTATTCCTTACCTACTAAGTCTTGTTAATGGCCAATGATTTCAGCTAATATGTACTGAGCACTTTCTGGGGACCAGGCCCTATTCTAGTTGATCATTATGCATCATTGTCTCGTTTTACCGTTTACAATAATGCTGAGGGGTAGGTACTCTCGTTTTATAGAAGAAAACATTAAGGCTGAAGAGAAATGAATTTTCCAAGGATACTATATGTAGACAATGCCAGATCTGAGATTCTCACTAAGATCTTTCTGATATAGAGCCCCCCCTCCCTTATCATCCACTACACTATTATCTCCTTAGAGAGATTCCAGGCTTTAGAAAACTCCTCAATGAGACCTCAGAGAGGCATAATTTCGTGAATGGCAGGAGTTGGCAAATTATGGCCCTCAGGCCAAATCTGTTCAGTGCCTGATTTTGTAAATAGATTTATAGGAACACAGCCAAACTTACCTTTTGATGTATTTCCTGTGGCTGCTTTTATGCTACCAAGTCAGAGTTCAGAAGTTGTGACATGAGCCATACAGCCTGCAAAGTCTCAAATATTTACTCTGGCCCTTGACAGAACAAGTTTGTTGCCTTCTGCTTTAAGGCAAGATTGGAACTCCTATAATTGAGTGTCTGAATCATCTTGGCCACAGTCTTCCACGTATGCCATACCTTCCAAGCAAGCATCATTTGTTTTCATTGAGAGAACATTTCTGCATTCCCTTTATTTTACTCCTTGAATTTGTTTGACCTCTTGTCCCCATGTCCTTCTGCCCACTCCAGCCTATCATCAATGGTTACCGAAATAAGTCCACCTTCTCTGTGAACCAAGGCCCAGATGGGAATCCAAAGACTGTGGGGTACTACGTGGGAACTTGGAGAGGTCAGTTGAAGGTTTAAGGAAGGACATGGAGAACAGTGTCAGTAGGAGTAGGAAATATAGTGAATTAAAGAAGGTTGAAATGGAAGTCTGATACAGAACATGATCACATGGTTGATTTGGGATACTTTCTGATGGGTAGTCATTGTAGCATAGTGATAGAAATCATAAGCCTTGTCCTTTCTTCTAAAAGCAATTTACCCGATACCTAGAAAACACTCAGCAAATCTTACTATTATTGCTGCTGCTGTCTCATTGTTGTTCTTGTTATTGTTTATGCTGTTTTCCATACTGGGAGCAAGAGTCCTCATTAGAGTCTCTTTTCCTGTTTTACACCCCTAAAGCTCTGAAAACTAAAGCTTTCTGTAGTAAATCTGCCTTAAAAGAATTGGAAGGGAGAAGTGAGTACTGGTGAGGGAAATCATGGTAGCATTATGCTTAATTCTAGTATCCATTCCCAGATTCCATTCTTGAGCTTTGTTTGCCCATTTTCAATAAACCCACTTGAAACATCATCACTTTTACCCTGTTTAATACCTGTATGCCTTAAAATACAGTTCATTAGGGCAAGCATTTGGCTCCTCCCCACCCCATGTGTTGAATTAAATGTGTATATATGACATCAGTGTTCTATTCAGTAATAGAAAAACAAAACCCATTACATTTTATTTCCCTCTTAAAATCTGAACAGAAAACAGATGTTGTCATATGGTGCATTTGAGGTACAGGAGAAAATATTGAGGACTAGCTCTATTATGAATTAGCTGCTTAATGGCTAAACCAGGAAACAATTAGGTTTTCTCTGAAAAATGGCTACATGCTTAAATTAATCACTCTACTTTTTGATATTTACATGTGCCTCTTTGAAGGAGGGAATTTGTGTTGCCAGACACTTTATTTTAAATCATCTTTTAGGAAGAAAACTGTAAATTCTTTTTTTTTTTTTCCATAGATGGGAACATCGTCTGTGTACAGCCTAACCATCTGAAAAACATCCCTCAGAAACACAATCAAGTGGCTCAGGTAAAAAGTAACAAGGGCTGGTTGAAGATGACCTGGGGCATTGCAGTCTATAATAGCAGTGTCCCTGACATTTTAATATTATAGCTGCGCTAGTGCTGGAGGGGAGGAGGGGCTCTGTACTAAAAGCAGACCTTTTAAATTGGAGAAAACATTGTCAGTGTTTCATTTTAGTGAGGGTAGAGAGGAGACAGAACTGCATTTATTATTGGAAATGTCAGGCATACAAGGACTTTAATAGCTGGAAAGTATTAAGAAAGAGGTACTGATGAGGTCACTAGAGCAAGTGTCAGGTGTCTGAAATACTTGGAAGGCTAGCATTTTTAGCAGAAAAAATAGAGAATTAATTTGGTACAGGCCTGTAATCCAAGCTACTCAGGAGGCTGAGGCAGGAGGAACACAGGTTCAAGGCCAGCCTCAGCAACTTTGTGAGGCCCTGTCTCAAAATAAAGACTGGAGATTTAGTGGTAGGGCATATGCAAGGCCCAGAGTTCAATTCCTGATACTGTGTGTGGGGGGGAATTTTTTTTTGACAAACATCATGAGAGACATAGGAGTGGTGATAGGTATCTATGTTATGAGGTTGACCTCTGGGATATTTTTATATCCTGTGTCATGGACCCATTATTTATTGAGTGCCTACTGTGGGTCAGGAACTATGGTAGATGCTGGGGCTACAGTGGTGACTCAGCATGTTAATAGACATAGTGCTTGTTCTCATGGAACTTTAAAGGTCAAAGCCTTATTAGTAGGGGCTGAACAACATTCCCAATTGACTGTCTTATACCCTATTAATTCTGACCAGCACCCATTCTTCTAATAATTTTTATTTCTGAGAGTTAGGTGTTGCCTTCTGATAAAAAACACATCTTGATCTCCAGACCTCCAGACTTGACCTGCTGGGACCCAGCTCTAGGATCCTACATGTTAGTATATAGGATCATGCTTCAGAAATTTTCCTCCATAGCCCTCATCAGCTGCTTCTCCCTTCCTTATCAGTGATTCTAAACTTTTTCCTTGAATTTCTTACCACATCATCTTTGCCCTTTCTTTTGGCAGATGACCATGCTTGGTTTTTAACTGGAAAACTAAAACTATTAGATGAGAACTTCCTTAGTTGCTTCTCCTATCTACAAATTTCACTGAAATCTTACCTCTCCTCCTCTCTTGTCACAGTGAAAGAGGTGGTTAGTACTCCCCCTGGCCAAAACTTATCCTTCCCCTCTTTGGACTCGTCTCCCACCTCCCAGGATTCTTGCTCCTTTATTAATATGCAACCCCCACTTTAAAAAATAAATAAATAAATAAACCTTTCCTTCAACATATTTCAGTTCATGAGAGTATTAAATATCACCCATCTTCAAGAAAGTTTGGTGTTTCTTACTTCTGCCCCCAATAGAAATTGATCTTGCCAAAGTCATCGGTGACCTCCATTTTGCCAAATCCAATAGAAACTTTGTCTTTAGCTTACTCAGAATTTTCTCTTCCTTAACACCACTTCATATTCTTATTTTCCTCCTGAAACAGTGCTTTCTCTTTGATTCTGTGATACCATTTTCTGATTTTCTTATTTCATCACTTCCTAGTCTTCCTTAAGGGATATTTTTCTCGTCCCCTTTTTCACTATAAATGTTGGTATCTCCCAGGACTCTATCTTTGGTTCTTTTCTTTCTGGTTATATTCATGGGAGATTATACCCAACCCTAACTGATGATGGAAATGACGACTTATAAATTGACAGCTCCTAAAAACTTGTATTTGCCTTCTAGCGCCCTCTTGAGCTTTGGAATGTGCATTTCCAAAAGGCTACCGAACGTACTTGCTTGACTGTCTTGCAGAACTGAAATAAATTTTGCACTAGATCAGGGTTTCTCAACCTCTGTACTGTTAGCATTTTAAATTGGGTTATTTTTTGTTATGTGGTGGGCTGTTATGTCTATTGTAGGATGTTTAGCAGTATCCCTGGTTTCTCCCCACTAGTTGGGTGACAATCAAAACATGTCTCCAAATATTACTAGATGTCCCCTGGGGAATGCAGAGCCCACTGTTGGGGGCCACTGCCATGAACTGAATTTACCTTACCAAATGTTGTGTTTCTCACCTTAGTTAGTGGTACTACCGTGTGCTAGAAACATGTCATCAAAGATTCTATCTTAGATAGATCTTCCTCTTGAGCTATATCTAATCAATTTCCATGTCCTTGTTAGTTTATTTTCTAGAAATATTTTAATTTTACTCACTTCACCATTATTTCACTTTATACCAGATTACCATCTTATTTCTCTCACCTGGCCTACTGCACGAACCTAGAAACTAGCCTCACTGATTTTAGCCCCTTCTCAGTGTATAATCCCTACAGTAGCCAGAATTATTCTTGAAAGGCACAAAACGCCATGCTATTTTTCTTGAAAATTCTGCAGTAGTTGCCCAATAACTTATGGAATAAAATATAAATTAGTTTTACTTAAAGATCATCATTAAGTTTCTAGCCTCATGTTTTGCCACATCCTCTCATGCTTTCCTCCATCCATTTATTCTGAACTGGTGTTCTTCTGCTATGCTGTAACATTCCTGCCTAAGTGTCCTGTTGAGAATGCCTTCATTTTACTTTGCCTGGCTCCCACTTATTATTTATTTATTTTTGGTACTGGGGATCAAACATAGGACCTTGCATATGTTAGATAAATACTCTACCACTGAGCTATATATACTTAGTCCTTTTTATTGTTTGAGACAGGAGCTAGCTAGCTAAGTTGCCCAGGCTGGCCTCCAAGTTGCCATCCTTGTGCTTCATTCTCCCTAATAGCTGGAATGATAGGCATATACCACCATATCTAGCTGGTTCTATTTATTCTGTAAGATTAATTTCAGGCATTGGAGCCTGTAGAAAACCATATCTGACTCCTCAGACTGATTAAGGGTCTCCTTCTCTTGTACTCTGAATCTCCACTGTGGATCTCCTGTTGTAGCACTCAGTATACTATATTTCCTCATTTGTGAGTGCTTCCTACAATACACTTTGGAGGTAGCAGCTCGATTGTATCCAACTTTGTATTCTAGCACATAACATATTTATACAGATGGTGGATATTCATCAAATATTTACTTGATTCTAGCTCTTACAGCTTCTTTTGGGCAAATTTCTAACCTCTACATCTATCTAGATGAATTCTTCCTCCCTACAGAATTTCTTCTGGACCTAAAATTCAATCCATTAAGGAATCAAATGTTGGCCATATGCTGATTGTAAAGTATCTTATATATATAGCACTGGGATATGTACATATAAGATATTTTTTAATGTTCTAAGATTTTTAAATATTTATACCCATTACTGATGCTGACATTTCATTCCTTTAAGATAAGAATAATCTTTGTCTACTCCTCCATCTCTATTTTAGGTTTAAATTTCTGTTTATGTGGTACTGGAGATCAAACCCAGAGCTTGTACATATTAGGCAAGGTCTCTATCAGTGAGCTATATCCCCAGCCTTAAATATCTACTTTTGAGTGAAAATGTGAAATTTATGGGACCTGGTAGCCAGAGCATCAAGGTCAAAGAAGAATCTTTAATAATATTTTCTTTTTAATATTTTTTTAGTTGTTGATAGACCTTTATTTTATTTTTTTATACGTGGTGCTGAGAATAGAACCCAGTGCCTCACACATGTCAGGCAAGTGTGCTACCGCTGAGCCCCAGCCCTAATATTATTTATTTTTTTACCAAAGAAATATAACTAGGCTCCCCGCACATGACCAGCTCGCACTGCTATTTTAAGCTCTCTGGGCCAGCTGTAGCAGGTAGTCACAGTGGGATGGCGGCCCAGGTAGGAGGTAGAAAAGCTAACTCACTAAGGAGTGCTGACCTGGGGAGCTCCTAGTGTGCTTGCCTAGCATGTGTGAGGCCCTGGGTTCAATCCTCAGCACCACATAAAAATAAATAAAGATATTGTGTCCATCTACAACTATAAAAAAAGAAAAATTAAAACAACAACAACAATAACAAAATCCCCATCTTCCAGGTCCTGACAACATGAGACAGAACAGAAGTGCAGTCTGAAGAGAGGAGTTTAAAAAAAAAAGTATATAGCATTAAATTGGACACTGTGGCCCATGCCTGTAATCCCATATACTCAGGCTGCTAAAGCAGGAGGATTGCAAGTTCAAGGCCAGCCTCAGCTACTCAGCAAGACCCTCAACAGCTTAGGCCATGTCTCAAAAAATAAAAAGAGCTGGGGATCAAATCCCTAGTACCCTAAACAAAACAAAACAAAACAAAAACTGGGTGCAATGGCACACATATATAATCCCAGTGATTTAAGAGGCTGAGATAGGATTGCAAGTTTAAGGCCAGCCTCAGCAATTTAGGGAGGTCCTAAACAACTTAGCAAGACCCTGTCTCAAAAATAAAGGGTTGGAGATATAGCTCAATGGTAATGTGCCCCTGAGTTAAATCACCAGTACAAACAAAACAAAACAAAACAAAACAAAACAAAAAAAAAACAGCATTAAAAGGTTAGCAAGGAGATAGAAGTCCTCTATTTCTACCTCTCCTTATTCTTGAGTCTTTTTCCCCAGAATCAGCAACTTTTTTTTAGTTCTTTCTGCTGGTGTTCCATACTTCTAAAGATTACATTACCCTATTATATACACATTAATTCTAACCTATAACATTTACATATAGTATATTGATTTCTGGTTATGGCATAAAGAAATTTGTTACTCTTATTTTTGTCTCCCCTCCCAAACTATACTCCTCAATATCTTTTGTCCCTCAGTTCTGGGGTTTAAACCCAGGGACTTGCTACTCTGATCCAAATCCACAGAAGTCTGCCCCACCCTTGTTTTTTTTTTTTTTCTTTTGGAGCCAGTCTTGGCAAGTTGTGAACTTGTGGTCATCCTTCCTTACCTTCCCAAACAACTGGAATTATGGGTGTATTCCATTGTACCCAGCCTTTGAATATATTTATAGCACATTTTTTGTTTAATAATTTATATTACTG